ATGCACACAAGCATGGCCATGAGGCAGTGTGAATGGTTCACACTGAGCATCATTGCCCAAAAGGAAATAGTTCAACTTGTGAATGTGCATGAGTTTTATGATAGAATATAAAGAGAGAAGAGCGGAGGCCTGAGTCTTAGCGATTTTTACAGTCAGGAGCTGAGAGGAGAAGAGTTAATAAGGAAATGCAGGAAAATCAAGACACGGGAGAAGAATCCACAGAGTGTCACAGCATCCAAAGATAACGAGTTGTGAGTTTGAAGGATGAAATTTTGCAGGGAGGTGACAAGTAGAATGCCCAGGAAGAATGTGAGATCTGGCAATTTTTGGTCTAGACATTCAGGCGTCAGATTATTTTAAGCATTGGGCGTGTTTATTCATTTTGTTTGGGACTTAACATTGAACTATTTTCCTTTCATGCTTACTTTAGGAGATTTCTTCCCGCCCTTCACATACAGTGTAGGAACTATTTCAAATCCTCCTAGTAATTCTCACACTGAATGCCTGGCTAATCTGAACAAACATGCATGCTATAATAACACCAGGTTCTTGTGAGAATTCAATGAACAGTGACTGGAGTGTAGTAAACACTCAATAAAAATTATTTGTAGATTTCAAACTTTACAACATCTATATGCTTTGTATCTACAAATCGCCTGAGATTTTTTTAGGACAACCCTGATCCCACTATTGCTTTAGTGTTCTCTCATGAACACTTAGGTTAGCATCATGATACATGAAGTCAAAAGAGGTTTGAGAGCCATGGTTTTATGAAAAACCTTTGATTCTTAACTCAGAGGTTCCTGTAATTATTGTGCTTATTAGATTAAGTATGCACCACAAACCCATAACTTCAAAGATGATAAATCCTGGATTCTCCCTGTTCCTCCCAATGTAGTTCTCTGCTTCCTCTCGCTGAGTCCACCCAAGAAAGAATGCCAGAGTGAAGGGCCTTCTGAGTTTATTCCATTTTGCCGCTTAAATGATGTCTTCATCTCTTCTGGAAGGAACAACCTTAATAGTCAGCCAAGTTGCTTGGAAGCAAGTTAACTTGCTCCAGCACTCAACTCCTCTCTTGATAATATTTGGGTGTCTTTTATACTTCTCCATGAAAAGAAAATTTACTGCATGGCAAACCAGGCCAGCAAGATTTTTCAGCAACTTAATTTAGAAGTGAATTATTCTCCTGAATAGGCCCATTCTTTGTTTGAATACAAGGCAATCTTTTCATGTGTTTCTTAAATAAGCACCCTACTTACCTCTACCTGAGTTTCCATTAGTGTCATTTAATAAAACAAAATGTTCTTTTCCCTAATAGAGGTTTCATGCTTTCCAATATGCCACCTCCCTATTAGAGTTCATGCTCTGAGTTCCTTTTATCTAAGTAATAAATCTACAATCTCTGAAACTTGTTCCCAAACTTTAAAGTGAGCTCGCTGTTCTTTGGCCTAGAATGTAAGTTTTATTTGCCCCCCAATAAGTTCTTCCAGTGGAGAGGTTTGGGACCAAGACTGTTTATTATATTATAAATAAAGTAAAAACAGAAAGTCCTGACTAGAACTGAAAATATGACATTATAAATCTATCGCTTATTTCATCAGCCATTTTAACTTTGAGGGAAATATTTTAGCTATTTAAGTTAATACTTAAGTTAAATGAGGAATATATGTCATCTCTACCACACGGTGATGATAATCTATTTGTAGAAATATTTATATGGTACTCGTGGTTTGGGTAGATCCGTTTATAATGACAAAGTGAAACTTTGAAAGAAGTCAGTGTCGAGATCAGAGACAAAGCGTTAGTCAATTTCTTTCTTCCTTTTTTTCTTCTTTTTTTTATTGTGCAACTGCAGCTTTTTTTTGGTTAATGTTTATTTGTTTTTGAGAGAGAGCCGGAGCATGAGTGGGGGAGGAGCAGAGAGAGAGGGAGACACGGAATCCAAAGCAGACTCTAGGCTCTGAGTTGTCAGCACAGAGCTTGACGTGGGGCTTGAACCCCTGAACCATGAGATCATGACCCCAGCCAAAGTTGGATGCTTAACCGACAGAGCCATCAGACCCCCCAGGTTGGTCAATTTCTAAGCAGTTTCCACATTAGGATTTTTAAGAAGGCAATGAAAACAGTAGATAGGCAAGCCCCTTTAAAAAATATATACCAAGTATGAAGGAAATTATAGATTTCAGAAATTATAGCATCATTATCATCTTCAGAAAGAAAGACGAACAAAAAAAAAAAGCTTTCTCTAGAAACTGCCTATTGCCAATAAAAATCCAAGCAAGAAACTGTTTTGACCAATTCCTGCCCTATGATATAGTCTTAGATTTGCAGTAGAAAAACTGATACTCACTGATTCTCAGAGAAATCAAAGGGACACCCTACAGCCTCTAGTGTGAAATTCATTATTGATAAGAATGAGAATGTTGACTGTCCAGACAAATCCATTAAACATCATATTGAGCAGTCATGCCAATGTGAATTACAAACTAATTAGCCAGCCTACTTAACGTGGCCAAACTCAAAAGCAACAACAGGAGACCCAGTGGCTCTATGGAATTGTTTCTGGACCCTGAGTAAAACTCTCAGTTCCACATTCTTTGAACATCATCAAAAGTCTTTGAAAGACATGTTCAGAAGCTACGTTCTTAGTAAATGTTGTTTTCTTAAAGCAAGTACGCAAGCAAGAGATTTAAATCCAATTGTTACATGAGCACAGCCTACATAGAAGTCCAAAAAAAGAGTATTTCATCTGTGATCAGAGAATTATTCAAACGGAGCCAATGATTATCATCATCCACACAGAACTGAAAGCAGGATACATAATAAATGTTTGGTTTTTAAATAAATGGGTTTATTTCACTATAAAAGGCAAGGAACCCCATGTAGAAAATTTGGAAAAGAGGGAAAAGGAAAAAAATCAGTTAGCATCAATCATACACAATCATTGTTTTAATATTGATGGCTAGTCTTTCATCCTTTTTCTTAGTAACACACAAAAAAATTAACTTATTTTTAATTATATTTTTATTAATTCCTTTTAAAGTATATCACCCATATAGAGGTAGATTTCATTTATAAAGTGATGGAGCTCAAAGATAGAATTATGAGCAGCAAATGACGACCTGTTAAATGGTATTTGAAGCAATCCAGCCACTGAAATGTTTCATTTTCAGCATGTTTGTGTTCTGTCCACTCAGCTCTTTTCCATCATTATATGTACTGTTACTACAAGTGTTAAACGTTGGGACCTCATGTGCATTACGCAGGCATTTGTTATGTTATTGTTGTTGTTATTACTGTACTTAATAAAGCAAATAAACCAAAGTTATGAATTATAAGGGCATGTATCACCAAATCCTTTCACAATGCCAACTAAAATATATTTTAGAACCAAATGTCAAGTGATAAACATTATCCAGTAAAGTGTAGAGGGAAGTGCAGCTGGCAGAGCCATTTAAAACACCCGGATTCATGAAACACTATCTGAGAAGTAGCCCACTTTTAAGAGTTGTCAGTTTACCACAAGGTCGGAAATAACGTTCTCTTTTTCAAAGGAATTCATTCCAAACTGACTTACCTTTCCTGATGACACTTCTTTCCTTCATCAGACTTGCAGTCCTCTGCCTTTCCTCCATCAGGGTAGGAATTGACTCTATCCTCAGGGCCCTCCTGGTGAATGAATTTAATAAAATTAATTCATGAAAGTTTGTTACCAAGGACCCTTCATGGTGGTCTTCTGGAACACTGCCACAACCCAAAGAAGGGGCCACAGTGGGAATTTAGTCAACTAAGGTGCTTCTTTTGGTCCAGTGAAACCAGGAAGTGTTTTCCAACACGCTGCAAGCATAGCCAATGTCCCCATAGCAGCTGAGATCACCCCTTTGCATTATCATCCTCCTACAAAGTCCTTAACACCTAATACATTGATTCTATGACTTAGGACAAAAAATTGTGTGAATGTCTAGCAGGTATCTCTTAATACTCTCCATACTGGGAAATAAATTTTATACTGAATATAAAGAAAGGCCATATTCTTTTTTTAAACTTCTTTGTAACCCATATTCATGTAATTAATAATTTAGTTAATGAACCCATCCAAATTCTGTATATCTCTACAGATAACTGCAGAACCACTCAGCTTGCCTCTCATTTTGGCATCTACACTATTTATTGATTTTTCTTTAATCCCAAGCAAGAACACGTTGTTTCTATCACAAATCTTTTGAATAACCCAGTTGAGAATCAGTTAAGCATCAAAGCTCTCCAGTGAGATCAGACTTCGCTGGTTTCAGTGTTTCATGGATATTCAAGTAGGAGGAATTATTCTTCTCTACTAGACTTAGTGGGAAAATTTAAATGTTTAGAATGTAAAATTTTATCACTCGTTGCCATAGTGCGGCAGTGGCTTCTGCACTTTTAGGCTTTTCTCTCCATAATTAAATTGAGACATTAAATGTAATCCTGCCAAAGGGAATGGCACTGAAAAATAAATCTCAACAGCAAAATCGTTAAATTTTGGACTTTAATATCTTCTTTTGCCAATAAGTTACTGCTTTCATTTTCCCTTAGATCTTACAGCTTTCCAAATTCTGATCAAAAGACTTAAAGAATGACCCAAGAAGCCAAAGTGGATTGATTGTGTAAGGACTAACAGTTGCTTAATTGTTTTGACACCACTTGTTTCCTCAAGAGCATGTTTTTCTCAATCCTTTTAAAAGACAGCAACTAAGTAATATTAAGCGAAAAGGCTGCCTTGTGGATATTTTGGATAGATGTCATTAATGTTTTTAAAGCATCACTTCTCTCCAGAGTCTAATTCCTAGAGTTCTAAAATCCAGAAGGACGAGTTTTGCCTGCACAATTTTTTGGATGTCATGTGCTCCACCAGAGTTCCTATAGTGAAAAATGTCACTTTCCCTTCAAAGGAATGACCAGTGAAGAAATGCCTTCCCAAGCTCCGTGGTTCCCATGGTACTGATTGTCATTGCCTTTTGTTGTAGGCAGAGTACTTCTATGAATTCCTGTCCTTACGCTCCCTGGATAAAGGCATCATGGCAGACCCAACTGTCAATGTCCCTCTGCTGGGAACAGTGCCTCACAAGGCATCAGGTGGGTGGTCTTTGCCTCGGAGGAAGGTTTACATTTAAAATGTAATGGGAATGGGAATAATATTTAAGATCCAGAAGTCGCCCATCAGAGGAATGAATTGTGGAATGGTTTCCTGAAGAGATCTCTTGATTTTAGGGCAGCTCGGCATGTTCCTGTCTCCTTTAGGCAAAACATTAGGACAGGAGTGACTAACTGGCAGTTTTATGATTTCCTAAAGGCTCTACATAGCCCCAGTTGGTAAGTGACCACAGATTAAAGAAAGTCACCATATGAGATATATCTGGCCAATAAGTATGAAAAAAAAAAGTGACTTGGGGCAGATGGAATCCAATCAAGAGAAACATCCTCAAAATGAGCATTGTATTAAATAGGAGTTTGAAGGAGAGAAAAAGACATGGAAAAATGGAAGAAAGGAGTTAATATTTGAGAGCTTATCACCCTTCCCTGCTAAGAAAATAAAGCATGGGTTATTTGTTTAGAGCTTTCAGCTTGCAAAATAGCACTTCATACATTATCTAATTTGAATTCTGGGAAGGAGTCAAGGCCAGAATTAATGCTCCATTCTACAAATTAGAAAATTCAGGCCTATGAGTTGTTACGGAACCTGGTCTGGATCACCTAGCAGAAGAACCAAGCACTCGGAGATCTTGGAAGGCAGGAGGTTTATTTCACACTGGTGGGCTCAGAGGAGATCACTCTCCTAAGGTCTGAGTCCCCAGCATAAGCATGGAGGACAATTTATAGTCATTTACTTCCACAATAGTAATTTGGCATGCAAGGCAAGCAAGGCAGGAAGAACCTGGAAGGGGAGTCTTTGAGCGGGGTCTGGAATTCCCCTATCAGCTCTGTCGGCCATCTTATAACATAATTTTTTCCCTATCAGAGCCTTCACTGACTTTCCCAAAGTCATATATGAGTAATAAGCAATGGAGCTGAGACTATAGCCCAGGTCTTATAAGACTTTTAGAAAAGTACAGAGATCACTTATGTTAACGTGTTCAAACACATGTTCATTTCCTTCTAGTTTATGAATATGTATTTTCCCATGATTGGGATAATATTACATATTTGGTTTTGCACTTTTTTTTTTCTTACTATTAACATTTTAACATAAGCATTTTCCCATGTCATTTAGGTTTTTCCAAAAGTCGTTTTTAATGCCCTTATTATCCATTTTATGAACATCCCCATAATTGGTTTACTCATTCCCTTATTTTGTGTTACTTAGATTGTTTTTAGGGTTTTCATACTAGAAATATCACAATAAACATCCTTTACAAAGTACTAGATGGTCACTGAGCAGAAAACCTGCTCGTCTTATCCCCCATGACTGCCAACACACGGCCGAGCACAGAACAGGCATTCAGAAAATACTTATTGGACTAATATGTATACCAAAATCTTAGAGCTCATCTCATTATTTTGTTAAAATAAATTCTTAGAAGTACCATTCTTATGTCAAAGGACATGAACTATGAGCATTTTAAAAGGCTTTTAGAACAAATTGCCAAAATACCACATTACTTTCCACACAGGCTGCGCCCCTTTGCCCCGGCTAGCAGTGTGGGAGAGTGCCTGGCTCATTGTAACTTCATCAGTATGGGTTATTAATCACATCAACTATTTTGCTGACTTAAAAAACGAAAAGCGTTTTCTTGGTGTTCATTTGTTTTTTTAATTTCAATAGAGGCAGAAGACATTTTCCTGCCTCTATTAGACAATGTAAAATGTCTGTGTACGATGCTCATTTTTATATTTGAAATAATAGTGCTCTTTATTTTCAAAGCTCACTGTATTTTAACTATTTATACTTTATGGCATATTTTTCAATTTATTATTTAGTTTTTTTAAGGTGGCGATATGCAGAGTCTTTAAAATCCTATGTGGTCAAAACTATTCTTTTCTTTGTCACTTTTTCCTATTACTTTTATGCTTGGAAGGTAACTCTTATTCCAGAGAGCTGGTAAGTGGTAATTTATGATGAGGTTTTTGGGGGGTGATAGTGGGGTTTGCGGGGTCCGGAGCCAGTGGCCAAAGAGAATTCCTGAAGATGTCTTTGGTGCAAAAAAAAGTGATGCTGGGGTGCCTGGGTGGCTCAGTCGGTTAGGCGTCCGACTTTGGCTCAGGTCATGATCTCATGGTTCATGAGTTCGAGTCTAGCGTCGGGCTCTGTACTGACAGCTTGGAGCCTGCTTCGGAATCTATGACTCCCCCTCTCTCTCTGTCCCCTCCCCAGCTCATGCTCTGTCTCTGTCTCTCAAAAAATAAATAAACGTTAAAAAAAAATTTTTTTAAGGTGATTTTACTGAAGCATGGGGACAGGACCCGTGGGCAGGAAGAGCAGCCCTGGGGCCATGAGGAGAGACTGGTTATATACTACGGGGTTGGGGGAGGTAAAGTCCGGGGGGAAGTTTCCAGTGAGATTTTCATATGCTAAAGAAGACTCCCAAGACAGTGGAGGCCTAGCTATTGTCAAGCTAAGGTGGTTTTCCCTGGAGCAAAACATTAACATTAAGACAGTAGGGAGTTCCTGGAGAAACATTTTACTCTGCCTGCCTCAAGTATTTGTCAATGGGTTGCAGGCTATAAGGAAATTTAGTTCTACCTGCCATTTCCTTCTGCCTTTGTTTCCCACATCAATTTACACATGCTTCTATTATTTTATCAAAATTTGTTTCGGTAGGAGTAAGAGGCTCTAACCTGAATTATTTTCCTGAGTAATCAGCTTTTCCAGTGTGATAGGATGAATTGTTTCAAGATCTGCTTTTTATTTCACATTATGTTCTTCTGTACATTGAGTTTTAGAGCTTACTATTTGTTCCAATATTGTCATATTTTTAGTTTTATAATATTTTTAAATAGCTGATATCATAACCCTGTCCTTTAAAAAAATAGTCTTATTTTTCTAGAGGAAAGTTAGATTATCTTTGATATCAAATAAAAATCTCATTAAGGGCTAATATAAATCTATGCAATAATTAGGGAATCGGATGCCCTTATAAAGTCCATTTTCAGGTTGCGGTTATCAACTACTTCCAGTGGATCTCTAGGATCACATCCCAGCATTGGAAGAGTTGGGGACTAAATAAGCAGAGTTTTTCCAATTTCCTGCCGTAGGTACCAAGGTGGGTGGAGACAGCAAGAGTGTGAATCTGAGTTTCTCTTGGGTCATCCCGGTGCTGTTGGTATAACCAGCAGTCCTCCCAGAGTATTTACCTCCAATCTAGATGGGTTTGGAGTTCTAGGAATCTCCTGTGAAGGAACGAGGACTTGGATTCTGGAGATAAACTCACCTGAGATTTGTAGCCCCAAGGATAAGGCTATCCCATTCCAGATACATGGATATCCCTATTCCATGCAGATGACATCGCTACTGCTGTCGCATATTACTGCACAGAGACAAGGGCGTTCTTCGAGTATGGCCATTACTCAGCCTCGTGCCACATCTCCTGCTGTTTCTTTCTAGTCAAAGATAATTTTTTTTGTATACAATTTTCTTGATCATAGGTTTTAGTCTTTCTTTTTAGAAGCACTCACGAATGAAACAAATACATAATATATCTCTCAAATGCCATTTTATATTTAAACATTTTTCCTTTGTTGTTCCCTGATTATCAGAAGAATACAGGCTCATTTGTAGAGCACTCAGAACATATTCATTAAATTAATGACACAGTTACACCTGTGCAACATCCAATAACTCTTCCATCTCTGGATTTCCAATTTCATGCTTGTATCCTAATTCTCCCCAGTTTTGTTCATTATAGTGTCTAGTAAAAAAAAGCTTACTGAATTTCTACTTCTTAGGATATTGAAACAACCACATTTTGAATATATGATGTGGGAATATTTTAATACTCCACGCTTAGGTAAAACTTTAATTTCTAATAATCTAGAATCCTTATAAATAATAAAATTTAGGGGGGAAAGTGAATGATGCTTTGGAAAAGGTGGGACGCAAAAGAATAAACCTTTTTCTGGGACGAGGTGACTTATGCGAGGTGACTTGTGACTCACGCGCGTGCACACACACACACACACACCCGCACACACATATAAACGCAGATACACCGCATATACAACCCCACCCCCACATACATAAGGTTTTAAAGGCAGATGTAGGATTTGTTTGCAGAAACGCAGGTGCACTAAGTTTATGGGAAATTTAGCCCATTGAAGGGCAGTTATTCATTAGCCTTATTAGCTCAGTCCCCACAGTAGGAGCAGTAAGGGCACCTTGAATTATTAAAAAGTAACCAGATCAGTGTGTCTTTGCTCCTAAACATCCAGGTAGTATTCATTATTCTACTGGTCTATTTTATACCCTCAAGCTGCTAAGTTGTTCTTTTATCCCCCAGACTCCTCTATGCCTGAACATTGCGTGGAAAAGAAAACTCTTGATCTTTAACAGTTACGAAGTGCCTGCCTTCTGGCATCTGAAGAAAACAAAAACAGGAAATACAAACTGCAGGCTGGTTCAGTAAAATTGGATAACCAAAAACAGTTTCCATGAAGCCAAGGCTCTGCCTCTTTGAAAACTGTTTCTGTCATACCATGAAACCAACAGAGCAGGCCTGTTTCTCAACCAAGACTTCCAGGAATTCCATGTCTAGACATTTTGGAATAAGCAGAACGTGAAGCCAGGGAAGGTGCTCAGTATTTGGTGAGAGGATGAATGGCTGTCAGCACAGCTTGGCCCACACTGATGACTGTTTGTGTGGTCGCATATCAGTCTGTGGTCGTGTGGGGCTGAGGATAAGCTCTCGCCCTCTCTCGTCTCTTCCCTTGTATGGGCAGCGGCTCCCCTGACTGACCGGAGGCTGAGGGCGTGTGAGCGCCATACTCATGTGAGTGTGGGAGAAGCATGCAATCAGAATGCGTTTGCTGTTTACTTCTGTGTGAGAGTTAGTTTACGTGCAATCAGTCAGTTGCACATCAAGGGTGTACTTGGATGCCACGTGAGTTATGTTCAATCTGCTTTAGTTGTTCTGAGTTGTTTTAATTTACCTCGGTTTCATTATACAGATGTGCTGAAATTCACATCTGGACGAATCTCATCTAGCTTTTGGTAAAAGTAGCTTTCTACTCCTATGCTTGTTGTTGCAAAAACACAACGTAACTTTTACATTTCTATTATTCTTTGGAAGTAGAGTCTGCTTTTTCTGCCTTCGAGATCTCTTTTTCTTTGTGTGTGTTTTTCTGCATGCACGCCATTAATGTCTTATTCTCCGTGTCTCCCACTGTCTGTGGTGAAGTTCTATTTATGTGGAAGTGTGTGCCTGTGTGTATACGGTATATGGATGTGTCTCCCACAAGGTCTTTGTGTCTGTCAGTGCCTAGCCTGTGACAGACAGTATGCCAAGTGCTGAATTTACAAAAACAAATAAGATACAGTTCTCTTACTGTCTCTGCCCCTCCCCCACTCACACTCTGTCTCTCAAAAATGAATAAATGTTAAAAAATTAAAAAAAAAAATCATATTAGTCTTACTGCCAAATGAGGAAATTGAGGCCCAAAGGATTTAAACCCACCCTAAATCATTCGGTCATAGCAAGTGCAGTTCTCTCTCAGATCCTTATTTTAAGCATTCGGCAATATTTATGCAGAAGACATTTATGCATCTGTTGTGAAGTTAAAATACAGGCAAATTGAAATTAGATGATAAAGGTCAATACCCAAAGAATCCAGTAGTTGCAGACCCAAAACAAGCACTGAAACTACTTTCAATTCCAATTTAAGTCTCTGGCTTTAAATGTTTAGTGTTTCTTTTTCTGGATTTTTAGGTGATTAAAATGTTACTCTCACAAATTGTCTTCAGACCACATCCCTGAAATGTAAATGTCGCAAAAGGGAGGAGGTTTTATTTGTCCTGTTCTCTAAAGTATCCCCAGTGCTTGGAATAGTGGCTGGCACGTTAGTAAATGCTCAATATTTGTTAAATGGATAAACTGTATCTTGACTCAAATTTGCAATTAACCACTTAAAGAGAAAAATTCATCTTGAAGACTCAAAAGAAAGTTACTTGTGTTGTGTTTTCCTTGTGGAACTTCTATGGGATTTTGCATCCTTGGTTCTCTTTCCTGGGATTGTTCAGAACCATAGTTTTAAGATGACCACAGGCCAGGGAAACCTCTGCATATTTCTTTACTTTTCATTGACTCGGAGGTCACGTTAGCAGATCGCACACTTTTATGTGAGCACTCCAGACCTTCTAGATCCTCCCCCTGATGACTGGAGCCTGTGAATATGTCATAATTTAAGCATATTTATAAATGGTTTGCTTTTAGCACATTTGAAAATATGTGCAAGCAAATAATTTGGTTTTTTTACAAGAGAACAAATCTACACCTTTATGTATTTACTTTTCAGCTAGTTCAAATCCTTGAGGGGTACAGCATCACACGGATTCTGTGGCCAATGGCTTTAGCAGGAAGGTTGCTTCGGGATTTGGCACGAACCATGCCACCGTTTCCATGAGCATGAGTTACTTTTCCCCGGATTCCTCTGGTTTTATTTGGTTTGCCACCAGGAGTCACTGTGTTGTTCTTTGCTTTGTACACATGAGCACATCTCTTGCCTAGACAGAATTCAGTTTCATCTCGAGCATAAACACCTTCAATTTTAAGAAGAGCTGTGTGCTCCCTCTGGGTCCGGAGACTCCGCTTATAGCCAGCAAAAATGGCTTTGGACCACAGCCTTCCAGACATATTTGTCGTTTCAGGAGTCCTGTTCCCAGCAGGCCTCCACGGGTTCCAAGATGGCGGAAAGAGCAAGCAAGTAATTATTTTTAACTGAACTTTCCATACATATAATAAGGCATTTTTGATATTTAATATCCAAAGTGTGTTTTGAAATTTGACAATGATGGGGCACTTTGGTGGCTCAGTCGCTTGAGTGTCCAACTTCGGCCCAGGTTATGATCTTGTGGTTCATGAGTTCGAGCCCCATGTCAGGCTCTGTGCTGACAGCTCAGAGCCTGGAGACTGCTTCAGATTCTGTGTCTCCCTCCCTCTTTCTGCCCCTCCCCAGCTCGTACTCTGTCTCTCTCTCAAAAATAAAAGCATTAAAAAATTTTTTTTAATTAAAAACAATTAAAAAAATAAATTTGACAATGCTGATAAACAGAAATGAAGATGAATTTACTTACCAGGATCTTCTCTTCCATGCCAAGATTCTGAGAGTTAAAATAAAAGTGAAGCTCCTTTTTTAAAGAATTAAGTGGGCTGCAAAGTGGAGGCTTGAAAAAGGTCCAGGAAAAAGATGCACCTGGAAAATAATAGTTTGGATGATAACATGTGGGGAGAAAATTCTAAAAGTTTTATCTTTAACAATCCTTTCAGTTTCTTCTGTTTGTGTCTGAGGGCAATTATTGGCCTACCCATTCGTGTAAAAAATTCATGAGAAAGGTTAACGAAATTTTAGAATTGAACACAATGAAAATGCATTGGAAGAGTAACAATTGAAAGAAATTGCCAGCTCTTTTGCTTCTTTTTGAAATGGAAATCCCTACAATGGATTTTTGTGTTTTGTAAATTGGCATTTTCATGTATAAGATTTCCTTAAACCAAGGCTTTCAGCGGGGACAATTTTACTTTAGAACTGCAGGCACAATTTTGCTTTTCTCTCTCTTTTTATGTCTATTAAAATGCTATTTCCTTTTTATCATTTAATAGATTAGTTTGCAACGGTCGGATCTCCAGATTCAAGAGAACTGGGAATCCATGTTATTTTGAGAAAGGCACAGTAATAAACACTGACGGTGGCAAAGCCTTACGAGGGGCTTTTGAGTGCTGAGCACACTAATAAGATTATATGGCCAGCTTGTGTGCAGTGCCTTATGGGAGAGCAAGCCAATTTCCAGCTCATGTCTTCTTATACATCTAGGGGAAAGTTTTATGAAAACTCTACAGGGAAAGGATTTTTCTTGGTTTGGTATGATTTCCCCAAGCTTGGCAGTAACCATAAGCTGCTATCTGGAAACAAAAGGAAGTAAAATTTCAAACGTATATTTATAGCAATATTTCTTCCTATATATAAGGAAGAACTAGAGTCTAATGGATCAATTAAATCACTCTCGTCCAGTAGATATGTTATGATAAGCTAGTGGATTTTAGAAATTTACACAGTCAGTCTCTTAGCCAATGACTTGATCCAGTTCCCACCCACTTACTTGTGGGCACTCCCCAATTGGTGGCCTCCTTGCCCTCTCAGTACACCATCATCTTTGGCCACCACTCATTTGCTAAGTCAACATGATACACCCCAAGTGATCATTATACTCCCAAAAAGCAAATGGCTCATTTTTATGAAACTTAATTATTAGGTATAAGTTTGTGAGATTATTTCATCACACCAAACTCTCTTCTAGATCCCAAGATATGGACACATTTTAATATTAGCCTAAGAAAATATTAGCTTCACTAACTCAATCCAATAACTGGAGTCTAGTCTGCGTTGTAGGATATTTCCAAAGAATATATTTTGTCACTTTCAAGCACACCGAGCTTGAAACTAAAGCTCGTGCCTATATGGGGCTTTATTTTAAAAATTCTGGAATACTGTTTTTAAAGCTCTTTTTTGGATTATATGGAGGCTGGTAAAGATGCCCACAAGTTTCTTGCTGGCATCAATCTGTGCTGCCTATTTGCACCTTTAATTTTTAGAGAAAATCTCTTTTTCAAGATAGTACAAGCCCAAACAAGGAACAAAATATCCCCAATTCCATATCAGTAAGGTACATATTAATTCATTATTCATTCTTTCTCCACCCAGCATGATGTATAAATTCTTTGGAGAATGCTCATACGATCAAAATACAGTCTCTACTGTGGTGTAGATACAAGAATATGAAATAATGAAATATGAACATGTTTGCTTTGTTCTTTGTCTCTCCTACCAAGATGTCTATATAACTGGAATCAACTAAATAAACTGTTTCTCTATACTTGCTTTTTCTTTAGTTGTTCAGGTTGGTTTCCCATGTCTTGGAAAACAAGATGGAGTGGCAGCTTTTGAAGTGAATGTGATTGTAATGAATTCTGAAGGCAACACCATCCTACAGACACCTCAAAATGCTATCTTCTTTAAAACATGTCAACAAGGTAATCAGTGATCATCATCAAGAAAAGGCTCATAAAACTTGCAGGTGTGATGGGGAAAGAAAGAAAGAAAGAAAGGAAGGAAGGAAGGAAGGAAGGAAGGAAGGAAGGAAGAAAGAAAGAAAGAAAGAAAGAAAGAAAGAAAGAAAGAAAGAAAGAGGAAGGAAGGAAGGAAGGAGAGAGATGGGGAAGAAAGAAGGAAGGAGAAAAGGGAGGGGAAGAAGGGAAGGAAAGGAAGGAAGGAAGGAAGAAAGGAAGAAAGAAAGAAAAGAAAAGAAAAAGAAAGAAAGGGAGGGAGGGAAGGAAGGAAGAGGATAATTTTTTGGTATAATTATATCCACACTAATGGCAGGAGGCTGATAACCACGGGGTCCAGTATAGTACTAAGACAGACTTTCTCTGCTATGATCCCACTCACAATTTTGGGAACTCCAATACCCCTTCAAAAGCCCTCTCTTCTACTTCTCTCCTTCCCCTCTTCCAGCATAATCTTTGGGAGTCCCCAGTCTCATAGCAAGATCACAGTCATTACCAGCAACTACCCCTTGTCAAGGCAATACAACTCTTATCTGCCACAGCTGCCACAAGCTTGGTGCGGCTGACTTCTCCAGAGCACAGAGTGCCACCATCACACCAGCAATCTCTGCCAGGCATAGGCACCTCACCCTGATGCCCATTTAAGCATGAAGGCCTAGATTTTTTCCCATCCTGATACAAGCTTTTCCAGCACAGAACTTAAGCTCGAGAGGCTTTCAGTACTCTAAAGATGTACCAAGGGATGTCTGGGTGGCTTAGTCGGTTAAGCATCCAACTCTTAATCTCAGCTCAGGTCTTGATCTCAGAGTCGACAGTTCAAGCCCCACGTTGGGCTCCATGCTGGGCGCGAAGCGTACTTTAAAAACATAAGTAAATAAAGATGTACCAAAAGGTCATTGTGCCCTCTGAAAGTGAATATCGTGGGCAATTCCATTCATTTTATTTCAGGGTGAATCTAAGAAGGTACAGTAGATTGATAGGTGGGGACGAAGGCAGAATAACGCTTGCTTTGCCTTCCTCCATGAGCCCCCCGCTATTGTAAGTGGGATTGAGAGAAACAAAATCTTATTTTGATGAGGATTTAGTGAAGGACAAGTGGTACAGAGAGAATGAGGTAGAAGTTATCAGTATTCAGTAGATTATGATAATCAGTGCACAGGGGGGAACATCAGCACTAGCCTCTTCATGCCCGCAGTTAATTCCCCCAACACAGTTTCAAGGGGTATAACCTTGTTTCTCTTTGGTGAAGCCGAATGCCCAGGAGGGTGCCGAAATGGAGGCTTTTGTAATGAAAGACGCATCTGTGAGTGTCCTGATGGATTCTATGGCCCTCACTGCGAGAAAGGTACAGAATGGACAGAACCCAACTACCCCCACTTGCTTCCTAATGAAATGGGCGTCACACCAGAGCCCCACATGTGCTTTTTTAACACATTCAGAAAAATCGAAATTATTTTTCTGGTCGTAGCATAAGGATTGGTAAAATCTTAAAAAGCCACAGAAGAGCAAATGGAAAGTACTTCTAGGAGTGGTTTTCTGTTAAGTCCAATATATGGTGACAGGGGCAGAGAACCTTAGCAGCGTGTCTACATTCTTTGTGGCCACTCCCCCGCCATCTTTAATTCACTATTATATACTTTGGCATAATCCTAAGAAAGTTCTCCTCCACTTAAGTTGGGTTTAACAAGCTAATATAATGATTGATTTGACAGTGTCTACTGTAATAAAAAGTACCTTGATTCACAATTAAGTATATACCTGAGTTATGAAGTTGCTATAAGACCAAAAAAAAAAAAAAGAAAATTATTTGTATTGTAAATATATCTATCTCAGTAAAATTACTATTATATGAAAGAGTTAAGCAAGTTGTATTAACCACAGGATGCTTAAATACTAAGGGTTTCTTTGGTGAAAGTAAGCAAAGTCTTTTTCATCTTTGAGACATAAGAATTTTTCTTGTTTGCATATATTTTGGAATTAGAAGATCTAGGAAAGAGGGCAGGGGAAAATATTTAGTCTTAAGAAGGCTACTTCTTAGTCAAAGTAATGATTCTAGGCAAATTTTAATCAGGCGTTGAAATGGCACAATTCTAAAATTCTCATCTATTAACTGGTTAAAAAAAAACTGATTTGCAACACATAAATAATGTTAAATATAGCAAGCCTGTAGGGTGCCTGGGTGGCTCAGTTGGTTGAGTGTCCATCTCTTGATTTTAGCTCAAGTCATGATCCCACATTGGGATGGAGTCCCACATTGGGCTTCATGCTG